CAACCCTTGAATTCTTTATTTTGCACGAGTGTCACTTTGGTCATCTCCCTATACAGATAAGCTAACACTGCAGTCCTCTATGATAACTCTCCACACTCCTCAAGATCCTCAAGAAGTGACAACCATCTCACATGCACCAAGTTCTTAGTGAAATCTGGAAATAGAATAGTTTCGATCATATTAAGAATATATGCACAGGCATAGCTCTTGATGATCTCATCGGTCGCATCGATTGGTACATTCATATAATTATTTCTTAACCATTCGAGCTTGATCTTATCACCCTTCATAGTAGGAGCTTGACCCATCAATTGTTCACACATTCTTACTCAGTTGAAGTCATCGGTACCCGTAACAGCATCTCCATCCACTCTGAGGCCAAGTAAAACTCCAACATCCTACAATGTAATCGTCGACTCTCATTGGTGTAGGTGGAATGTATTTGTCTCGGGTCTCCATCGTTCAATCAATGCTGTCAAGAGAGCCCAATCAAGTCTCACCCATTTAATTTGTGAACACTCAAAAAAGCCTGCTTGACGAACATAAACTTGGACCTGTGGATCCGTCAAATCCCAGCTCTAATGTGCACGAGTATGATCAACTATAGTAATACCCATGGCCTGCATATATTAAACAATGCAAATTTTTAGTAACAATCAATAACTTAGAAAAATTAATATGATTGAAAATAATAAAAATATAATTTACCTCCCTAGAGTCTATCTTCGCGAATCGGTGTCGATCTTGGTCATAAAGGACCTCATATGTCAATAGACCCGTCTCCATACTGTAAATATCTGTACATATGATGATAAAATGTGTTAGTATTATAATGTATGCTAAATTAGAAGTAGAATAAAATTACAGATTTCATAAATAAGCATTGACTTATAAAAAAAGTAGAATAAAATTATAAATTAAATAAAATTTACCCATTAATTCCTATCTATTTGGATTTGTAGGACAATGGGATCTATTATGGCTCGGTTGTCTGTAATATCCACACCTTTTTTTTGAGTTCCTTCCCGCCCTTCATCCATCGTACCTTTTATGTGTACTGATCGTGGACGTCCGACTTGTCTCTTATATTCAGGAGTCAACACATGCGGCCCATTATAGGGTGGCCAGTAACGATTATCTATAATGAGATGAGAACACTGCTTGTATGAATCTCTATAGTGACCTGATTGATACCACTCAGAAGCGTATGTGTAATGCGAAATATTTTCACCCCCAAATTGCTTGGACGTAACCGCAATAACATGTGAACATGGTAATTTTTGTAATTCTGGTATGTTATAAGTGCATGCGCATTGTGTCCCTCGTAAATTGACTGAGTAATTATGACCGTGTTTGTCTATAACCTGTCATTCATCTACAGCAAATCTAACAATCTTTGTTGATCTCGTCTGCTTGACATGAGCTCCTACAATCTCTTTATTTTTTGGTGTCAACAACGTCACCCACTTTGCTCCATCCTCTCATCGCTTGAAAAAATAATGATTGAGTCTATAAAATGTCCTCGCAACCAACGCCTGTATGGGCATTACTCGAGCCCCCTTAAGTATCCCGTTGAAGCTTTCAGAAAAATTAGTTGTCATCATGCAAAACCGAATCCCTCCATCTTTACTTAGTGCCCACCGGTCGACGTAATCACTTCCCAAACTACTCTCAATCCAGTCATGTGCAGCTTGAGATGTTGCCTTGATTTGATCCTGTATCCGATCATACACACATGTTTCGGGTGTACAACCCGCTTGCCAAAGAATATTTTGTAAATGTATCTGATCAAAGCTGTTTCTAAAATTAGCTCTAATGTGTCATAAGAAATAGCAGTGATTGTGATGCGAGCCAAATCTCCTGTACAATGCTTTTGGAATACCTTTCATCCTATCGGATATAAAAAAAATTCTAGGAGACAACACATTAAAAAATATATAATTGAATGCAAGAAAAAAAATCCTAAATTGGTGTAATTCATTTTTAGTCGGTACTCTTGTGGGTCAATTCCCGTAACTTGGTGTAATTCATTAATCACGTCATGGTAACTATATGATTCCAAGATCATTAATGACGTCATTGCCCCTCCGACGTACATAGGCATATTATTCATTCCATAATTAATTTTCCCATCATAAGAGAAAGCAATAAAAATCATATTGTTCAACCCATGCAAAAGAAGATTATATCATTTAAATACAAAAATTTTAAAAATATTATCAATTACAACCCTAAACCCCAAATTAAAAATCCAAGATGCAAATAATCTCATATAATTTTGACTAATTACCCTAAACCCCAAATTGAAAATCCTAAACCCTAGAATTGAGCATTCTATGCCCTAAAAGTTTAATTTCAATTACAACAATCAATACACAAAGCATTCGAACCACTACAAATAGAGTTCAAACCCTAGAAATTCGTTTTTGAGAGGAAATCCTAGATTTCTACATGTTAAAAGAGGAGAGAAAGAAGAGAATTACTCTAGAGATCTTTTACGATGAATTTCGGCCGCAAAATGGGGTTGAAATTGAGATCGCTGGCAGCAAAATGAGAGAGTGACAGTTTTGGAGAAGAGAGAGGTGGCTGGGAACGATAGGTTTGGGGGGAGAAGGGTTTGGGTTCGTTTATATAGGGGGTGAGACCCATAACAATTAGTCGGGGTTGGCAACCCCGACTATTTTGTCGCTTAGCCAATTTCCCATGTCTATAACTGGGGGCTGGCCACTCTCTGCTAAATGGTCGGGGTTGGGAACCCTAAACATTTCGAATTATGCATTTCGAAATGGTCGGGGTTCCTAACCCCGATCTATTTAAATAGCTACTAAATTAGTCAGAGTTTCGAACCTCGATTATTTTAGCAGCCAAATTGTAGGCGATGTCTAAAATAGTTGGGGTTATCAACCCCGACTAATTAGGATCGCGTTTAACAAAAATCGACCCACTTTCTGGCCACGATGCTGACGTGACAAGAAAGTGGGCCGATTTGTATAAGGTCGAAATTTGAGATTAAAATTAGAAGTGAGTTTAGTTTTAAAATTTCTTCGCCAATAAACTAATAATTATAGCTTCAATTGAGAAATCTAGACATGTAATGTATATAGAACACCGAAAAAAAACAGGAGGTTAAAATTTGAGAGCAAGGTTCAAATACGTTAAATATAATTCTTGCTCGGTTCTAGCTACTTAACAACGTGTAGAGATATTTTAGTCCACTTAACTGTACAATTAACGTCGTTAATTAGAGATATTTTAGCCCCATTCCCTTTCTTATATAAAAGCGATCCACCACGTGCTACGCCATAAATAAAGAGTTAGAAACCTCCGTACGAGCGAAATTCAGAATCAAGCGCCCAAGTCCTCAAATTCATTATTCCACCCCTCAAAATCCCCAAATTTTGCAAATGGGTAGATAACACCCTTTTGTTTTGGCTTAAGTGCACTTAAATGCCCAATAGTTTCCCCAACTTTGAACTTATATACCCTCAGTAGCTCTTGGTAGCAGTTACATACACCAAAGTTTCAAAATATTGCAATTTAATATCCTCAATAATGCAAATATGATAATTCCACCCTAAAAATTGTCAGCGACACTGACAAGCTAATTATAAAATATTTTTAACTTTTAATATTTGTAAAACTTACTTAAAGCTTGTCAAAAAACTATTTTGAAATAAAATTACGGTATTTTTAAAATAAAATTATGATATTCTAACAATAACTTTAATAAAAAATAAGAATTAAAAAGTTCTAAAATTAGCACGCGCTTAACATATGAGAAATGCCAGGAGAAAGTTCTCCTGGTTTTCATTATCGATGATGTTTAAGATAAACTTTAAAAACTATAGAGCATAAAAGTGTTGTTAAAGAAAAGTGAGGATAAGTAAACTTAGAGAAGGGGAAACTATAGGATATTTAATTGCAATTAAAGCCTTTTCTGGACAAGGCAAAGAGTGAGGCAGACTTTCTTAGCTTAAAATAAGAACAATGTGCAAGACATGATACCTAGTTCATAAGAACCAAATCCAAATCTATGAAAGCAACATAAAACAAAGCCTACAAAGGAAATGAAACCAGGAGAGCCAAGTCTTCCAAAGTGTGAAACGAGATCTAAATAACGTCTCGTTGACGATCTTCATCACAAAAATGGCTCCAATCTTTGTGTATACATAGATAGAAATGATGCGGGACTACTCATCAATTGTTTTTTTTTATAGTTTAATTGGCTTTGCACTTATAGATGCAAAATAGGCAACTCAACCTTAAAGTATTGTAGAACTCTCAACTTTCGCCCTAACGTATCAATTTATAAATTTTGCCCCCTAAATATATTTGTGGGTCTAGTGTGTCACTTGTGAGTTCACAAATATAGATCAACAATGTAGCAATGTCTTTTAGTATTTCTTCATGGGTTTTAATGGGTCTCTCTCCTTCTCCCAAACCAAAAGAATTTCTCAACTACTTTCATAAACTTTTTGCTCTTTATGATTGGAATTGAAGAATCAATTTTTAAACTGTAGAAAATACAAGAAACGCATGAAAAAAAACATTGTTATGTCACGGATCTGCTACATTTTTTATATTGAACTCACAAAATAACAAAATTGAACATATACACATAATTTAAGGAAGAAAATTAGCAAATTGATACTTTAAGGGGGAAGTTGAGAATTCACCTTTTCTTTTCTTAAAGTAGCATAGATAAGTTTTTAACAAAATTTTACATATACTTAAGTGCTATTTAGCACATTACTGGTACTTAAGTGCTAATTTAGCCTTTTGCAAAATCCAATGTCTCCATCAATCCTCTCGTCGCTAGTTGATCAAGGCCGCGCAGTGGCGTCCCCACCCCCCGCTTTCTTTTGATTTATTGCAAAAAACCCCCCCAGATCTCATCCCCTTCGAAATATCTCCAGCGGACCTCGGAGTACCGCAAATCGCAGTCCGAGGACGCCGTTGAGATCATCGTAGTTTACGTCGTCGCCGGCGGCGGTGGACGGTGACGTCATCCCCTTCGAAATATCTCCAGCGGACCTCGGAGTACCGCAAATCGCAGTCCGAGGACGCCGTTGAGATCATCGTAGTTTACGTCGTCGCCGGCGGCGGTGGACGGTGACGGTGGGAGGTGACCGGATCCAGAAACAGGCAATGGGCGGTGACCGGATCCAGAGCGAGGTGAATGGGAGTTGTAAGGGAGGCGGAGAGGGCGAGAGGAGATCAAAGCTGTTAACTTTACCGACGGTTCTCACACTTGGACGAGTCGCCGCCGTTCCTCTTCTAGTGAGCAGTAGGTCCCTCTTTTTTCAACTTCGATTTTGATTTTGATTTTGATTTTTAGGGGGCGCTTTTGATCTTTGAACGTAGTACGTCATTTGCGTCCTGTTTGATTTTTTTTCGTAGATTTAAAAGGAATTTTCCTTTGCATTTGTGGGAATGTTGCCATCAAATTTGGGGTTAGTTAAAATTGAAGGTTATGGAAAAAAATTTCAAATGATTTTATAATAGTGAGGATGATCATTATACACTTATGCATACTTGATGAGTAAACGCTATTCAAGTATCAACATAGAATTGTAAAGGACACGTAATGCTTATTCATCTTTATGTCTAGTACCATTTTTCTCCATGATCTTTAGGAAAATCACATCGTGATGCAAGGATTATACAAATTCTTGAGTGTTATTTGGTACCATTTTATGAAACTCGCAAAGGGATTAATCTGAGATAGTGGAAAGTAAACCCTTTGATCTAATGAAAGTTACATTACTATCGTATTCTAAGCGGATGCAGTGTCAGATAGGATATTTCCCCAAAATCTAGTGGAGTGGGAGTAATTAGAGTTTTGCGAATATGTGTGATTTCAAAATCCACCATAAATCTTCAAGTTCTAGTAGGATTATCAAATAGTAATAAATAAATAAATTAAAAAAAACTTAAGAACCTCGTAATAATGCTTACGCTAATCTCAAATTTTGTAGCAAAAATAATAGCAATAATAACTTCATGCAGATTTCATAAACCATGAGTAACATGTAGTAGCTAGCTTCGTTATATAAACCAAAACAAAATGGTGGTCGTGATTTTAAATAAAATCAAAAGAGAAAATAAAAAATTAATTTGTAAATTTTAAAAATATGTATTTATCATTAATTATGCAAAGTATAGTAACCTGAAATCCAAATTGGCAAACATAGTTTCTCCTCACCAATCTTAAGAAAAAAATATCATGTGCTTTAGGTTCGCTCGTTGTTAATTTGGTTTGGAGATGGTAAATGTAATCACCTTCTTCTTTACTTCATGATTCAACCTCGGAATTTTTGGAATTATGGATGGATATTAAGCTTAGGTTACTACATGAGACATTCATATTATATTTATAAGAGATTCCCATTTTTTTTTAAATTGATCCCATTCCCATCTTTATTTTTGTATACTGTCCAATCCATGGTCCTTTGCAAAAAAGGATTGGTCCTCTCTTGACTGGGTACCTGGAAATGCATAAAATATAGAGCCATAAATTATATTATATTCTCTGTACAGAAGTAAACTGTTTTTTTTTTTTTTTGAATCTTATTATAAAAATCTTGGACAACTTTGTTTCATATAGTACTTACAAAAACTCATTTTATGTAGACAATGCCCCTCGTACATCAAAGAAACATACTAGTTGCATGCTTATAGATGGCTTATTAGATGAATAACAAAACCACATGTTAATTGCATGCTTATGGATATAACCACACTAGATGAACATCATGCAATTGTAAGTATCCTTTACCATGAAGAGAGATAATCATGTGTTACGTAGACACAAAAAGTATGCTTACCTAGACACCAATACGTTAAAAAGTGCTTTGGGTGTTCACCTAGGGGTTGCTTAAGCCTAAGTTGTACTCAGGCTGCCTATGCAAGTCTTGGGAGCGTCTAAGCAAGCATGGGTCTCTTAAGCGGGTTGCACCAGGTCAGAAAGGTGTATATCGCCTGCTTAAGCATAGTAACGGGTGAAGAGAACAAGTTGGGTAATGGATCGGATCAAAGCCAAATGTACCTCCGACATAAAGATGAGTATAGAAACTTAAATCTCTGAGAAATCCTTCCTCTCTAGATGTCTCCACGTAACCTTCCTCTTTGCCACTAGAGCTGTAAATGTCGCACTTACTGCAAGGAGAAAAACAATTCCTTTAAAAGAATAAATTGCTAAAAAAAATGTTTGCATGTCATTAAAGTGCATGCCTGGGTTTGGGCATTGTACACTTAGAGGTCTAAAAGATAAAATTGCTACAAGAACCTTTCCTTTCCCTTACTTGCTTAGGGTGGGGGTCAATGATGCAATTTTATAGGTTAGTAACTGTGTTTTGGTGTGCTTATTAGTCAAAAAGTTATGCCACGAGGTGATTTTCTTGTTATATATGACTTGTTTGAACTCTACCTGTGACATTTATTGATGTGTGGTCATCTCTCTAGAATACAGAAGTAAACACTCATAAAAGCATGCACTTGCGATGTACAAATTCTTATTTATGGAGTGGGTAAAATAGTTTTTTTTCCACTCACATTCTGAATGTTAGATCTAGCTGGTTCTTATTGGGTTCTAATTCGGCAGTTGGTATGAATTACCTTCTTAAGTTTGCTTGAGAGATAATTATATAGAAAGGGTTGTTCATGATTGAGATGCTTCGGTCCTCATTTGATCTCTATGGTGAAGTTTAACCTTGACGTTCTTGACATATAACATACTTAGAAATCATTTCACAAAGACAAGCAACTATTTTATGCAAATTTCACCTGGTTTATCTAGAGAAAAGAGAGATCAACAAGTAAAAATAAGAAGGTTTAGAAATTCTCATTGACCATGATAACCTACTTGTATGAAAATCCATCTCAATGATGGAACTAGTTGAATTCTCTTTCCAAGTCCCCAATCCAAGATGAAGCTAGAATTTTTTTCATGCAATCCTTATAATCTGGCTGACGAAATTGACTTTGATGTTTCCCAAACCTGAAACCTTCTACACTGTTCATGGTCCAGATTTATTGGAATCCTCTAGAATTAACGGCAGTTCCAGTTTTTAGGATTTGTATCTAACATAGTGAGACTTAATTCTGGTAAAGTTGGTTTGTCTTTAGTCTGTTTTTATATTGCAATTGCCATCTGACAGTTACTAAAGTGCTTCTTGACATGGTACATGTTAATTTTTATGGCAAAATGGCCAAATTGGTATATTTTATAGACACTAGGTGCAAGGTTTTAAATGTCGGATGTCGGGTTAATGTCGGATGGCTGAAATCCATGTCGGATAGCGGAAATCAGGGATATATCGGGGGGCATTGACTAAATATCGGATTGCCATATCGGGTAGTGCGCATATGTATAATATCATGTCTTAAATGTAATCTAAGTATTCATAAATTCAATATAAGCATACTTTATAAATTCTATAGACTAAACATATAAAAAAGTAAATAATATATGGATTTAGGTTCATAAATTCTTTCTATCGGGTTCATAAGAAACCTTTAAACATGAGAACGAATAATATATGGATTTAGGTTCATAAATTCTTTCTATCGGGTTCATAAGAAACCTTTAAACATGAGAACGCGTCAAACGAGTTTGAGTATTTATCACTAAACCCAAACCCGATAACAAAAAACAGATCTTAAAAAAAATTTCGATGCTAGGGTTTTCTTATGAAATCTTCGAATCAAAGCAGGTAGCACATGGGAATATTCAGGGTGGAAGTTATCGAGGCCCCGGTGAAGCCTCTAGGGTTTTGAGGCGGCGGTAGATGGCGGGTCCGACGAGGCCCCGATGAGGGTAATTTACATGCTGTCATTTTTTTGGGTAGAGACTGAGGACGAGATCGAGGGGGGTTGGTGATTGGATCCGATGAGTAAAAGAGGAGGAAGGAGAAAGGAGGTTGTTTTATAGTGTAGGGAGTTTTATGAGGGGGTTTTGTGCAATAAATCCCGCTAACACGTGAGCCGTCACGTGAGAAAACTGGCCGAAAAAATGGATCCGGCCAAACTTGAGGGGTATATGACGCCGTAGTCTATATAATATACCATTTTGTCCAAAGCCAAAAAAATATACCAGTCTGTCACCTAGTGTCTACAAAATAAATCAATTTGGCCATTTTGCCTAATTTTTATTTTACTTATTTATTTATTTTGGGTTATATTGGCTATGTTTTCACACGTCAGAGCTAAAAGCTTTTCATATTTCATTGTAGCTTTTTACATGAATAATTCGTGGGCCACATCCGCTACAACAAGCATTTTTATTGCTGCAGCAGTTACAGACTGGCTAGATGGCTACATAGCTCGGAAGGTTTTGATAGCTTGTACTTTTTTAAGTCAAATTTAGTATGTTAAACTATCTTTTCTACTTTGCATGTTAATGGCGGAATTTCTTGTCAATTCTTTTCATTTCCTCAGATGCAGATAGTAACGCCTTTTGGTGCATTCTTGGATCCTGTAGCTGATAAGGTCCTCTATCTCGTTATACACTCTTTTCATTTAACTTTTTGTTTGGATTTCATTCAATGACATATGCTTTTGGTTTGTGGTTTGTTATTCTAATTAGATTTTTATGGTTTTTGGTTGCAGCTAATGGTTGCTGCCACATTAGTAATGTTGTGTACAAAACCTTTAGAGGCTGCAATATTTGAAGGGGTGCCTTGGCTTTTGACTGTCCCTTCGATTGCTATTATTGGTAGAGAGGTGATCACCAATGCTTGCTAGAGCTTTAGACCCCATTGCTATTATTGTTTATTCTATAATTATATATGCTTGATTATATATTGACAATCAGTAAGTTTTCACTGATGTTTTGCATTATTCATCAACCAGCTTATTCTGTAACTCATCGTTACTCTTTCTTGACTCTCTTTTGCGAAATGACTGTTGGTATTCATTGTAATTGTAATTTAAGACCACATAGGATAAGTCATTTGCAGTTTCCTGGTGATTTTAAAATTCTGGTGTCTACTATCAGTATTTCTTGGGAAGTAACCTGGCTATCAAGTTAGTTAGCTTTTACTTATTCAAACAACAAGATAATTACACGGTGTTTGATGACAAAAAAATTTAGAACTTTTGGGCCTGTTGAAGGCAAAATGTATCGGTAGTGAATAGGTGTGATGGCGGTACAAGGACAGTTTTGAAGACCATAAAATTTCTTTGTAGTTGTTATCTTTGATGTTAATAATGAAAGATGGGGAATGTGGGATCATTTGATGATCGGGATTGCAAGAATCATTTTTATCATACATCTAGAAGTTTCTGTTAGGAAATATAGGCATGCAGATGCATTATTTAGGCACCTAGCCATTAGAAAAAACCTTTTTTTTTTCTTGCAGTGATCTCAAGTTAATAGAATGTTGTTTAACTTGATACGTATATAACCCATAAGTTGTCTTTCAAATTTTCACTGTTAGCTTCTCTGGTAATGGTTTTGTTGTGTTTTCTCCGTTACATGTATTTAACATCAGTATTTCATCTGCAGATAACAATGTCAGCAGTCAGAGAATGGGCTGCATCTCAGAATACCAAAGTTCTTAAGGTTGCTTTCATTTCTACAATTCAAATACACATTCTTAAATTTGCCCCCAAAACCATCCATCTCTGAGATGCATATAGATCTAATACCCAGTGATAACAGGCCGTGGCAGTGAACAACTTGGGGAAATGGAAAACAGCAACACAAATGATTGCATTAATTATCCTCCTTGCGTCTAGAGATTCAAGGTCTTGTCCTTATTCCTGCAAAACTCTGGTTCCATGTGTAAGAATTGATCTAGGCTATTATTGATAGTATTTCCATATGCAGATACTATATATTCATATTTAAAATTTGGATTTCAAAATTGAAAACCCATACCATTGTATGCCTTGCAATAAACATGGAGTACCTAAAACCAAAATTTCCAATGATTTCTGTGTGTTTTTAATCATGTACATGGGCAAAAAAAGTTCAATCTTGTGAAATTTCTAAAACATTGATTTTGCGACATAAAATGCACGATTAAAACACGTTAAATCATCCAAAGGTTTAATTCTAAATAGTCAATTTGTAGGTTGGTTCTAAATTGGATCTAAATTGCCTGCATCTTGGGTACTATGACACTAGCCTAGCCCAACTCCACATATAATATCTTTTTAATATTTACTCTTCATTCAACTTAACTTCTTTTGTGATTGCAGTCTCTTGGATCAAGACGGTCTGCTTGCTTCGGGTGTAATCCTGCTTTACATTTCCGCTGGCCTTTCTCTATGGTCCTTAGTTGTGTACGTGCAAAATATTTGGAGAATCTTGCTGAAATAGCCCCGTATGGATTGAGGTTTCCGCTCTGACATACGATTATACACTTCTTATAAAGAATTAAGACATCCGGTTTACTACTGACCTACCTTTATGTTACCAATCAACGTGAGCTCCTTGTGTTTGATATGGGATCTCATGGGAAAGATTTTACAGAGAGAGAATATATAAGCTGACATTTGTGTCATTTTATGTATCATTTGGTGCATTGGTCTGAATAAGGGTGAGGTTCTATTATGGATCTTGTAGAAGCGTTCTGTGTAACTACTATGGAATTGGTATAGTTTGGCCCTATTTGGGTTTCGCAAACCGCGGTTGTGATATAATATATTTGTGAATGAATAATTACATAGAGTTACACGGTTGATCAAACTTGTTAATGTCATGAATGTTCATGCTGTTTCTATTCACTTACTACCGCATGCTGATACATTGATACCTGCAGACTACATACATGTTGGATCCAGATAAATACTCCATGTGTTATATGTTTTTGGTAAAAATAGAAAAGCTGAGTCCTAAAAAATAAAAAAATAAAATACATAGCTAAAGAGCAACCATAGAATGTTAACAGTGCTCTTTCAGTGTTCTTCTCCACGTGTTTCCCAAACAAAAGATCAGAAGGCATGTCCTACATTGTCCAACCGAAGCACATGATACATTCTCGTATGCAATATTGATTGTTAAAAGAATGTACTTTAATTGAGATCTTGGAGTATAAAGTCAATTTTTATGGTTCTGCAAATACATCACATGCACATGAGACTTACGTAAAGCAAACAAACAACTCTTGTGCTTTGAACGCATTTTGTTGCAGTGCTTGTCTCAATATGGATCCAGACAATACCACAGTCTGTCGACATGTCCGGGTTATTTACAAATATATTGAGAAAAATACTAGATGGATCAAAACATTGTTCAAGGACCACACAAATTATTTCTCGGAAGAATTTGACAACAAAAATATACACTTCTCTTGTTTCAATCCAAATGACTGCACTCCTCACAAATCCTTATTTGCTTTATAATCAAATTCAATAAAAAGTATTACAACGATAACATAACTTTCTTGGCTGCCATAAACCCTTCCAAATTTCTTTGCTTTATCCCTTTATCTCACTGTGAACTCTCATATAGGAATTGAGAAGAATTCTCAATTCGTTCATAGAGAGGACAGAGATGAGATCTTTTGGCAACTTTCTAGCCTCTTGTGCTGAAAAGAGGTATTCAATTATATTACAGCAGTGAAAATGAATGAAGGTTTGAGCTATTTCTAAAAACAACCCAGAAATATCCCCGACTTACCTCAGAGATTGGCATCCTAGTTCTCACAGCATCAACAATTGAAAGATCGATATCAGCTATAGCAATCCCAGTTGAAAGACGATCTAAGTTGGCCCACAAAAAAAAAAAGACATCATGCACATAGATAAATAAGCATTGTATACAGTGAGGGAAACCTTACACCATGTTAAGTAAAGTGCACATATATTTTCATTACTATTTGACAAAGAACCCTCTCCTAGTTTGTCAATTGAAATGCAATATTATGTCTTTGAAATATAAAGAAATGATTAACATGGTAATCATAACACAGAATTATGATGGGTATATAACACAGAATTATGATGTATTCTTAACATGGTCAATTAAAAGCTGTTAGTGTTCAGTAACCATCTATGGATTGCGCAAACAGTGAACAAGAGAGCACTGAATTAGACTCACCTGGAAGGCGAGCTAAAATTTTCCCCCATGGATCAATAATTAGAGAATCTCCATAGCTTTCTCGTTTCTCGTTATGTTTTCCAGCTTGAGCTGCAGCTATAACCTACAAAATAGAGCAAGAGACGGTGAATCAACATGTTTTATATCATCATCTATCATTAGTTTGTGATGCATTTATATGTCCATCAACTACTATCAGCACCAAGTATAACTTCATTGAACTAATCAAATATGCCAATCATAGTTAAGTGAAATTGCTAAAATACTACAAAACTTGGAGTTAGTGTTTCCCAAAAAAAAGTGGTGACGTTACTTTCCTCTATGGATAAGTTAACAGCCCAAGAAAATAGATTACAAATTTCTCATCTAAAGATTTTTACCTCTCTCAATGGCTCTATAGACTAATGATTTCCATAAATAATTTAGGTTTTTTTTAATTTATACCCCTCAAATCATGCATGTTTGTAGAACTAGACCCCAAATCACCCCCCCCCCCCCCCCCCCAAAAAAAAAACATCTTTGTTGAATATGATGAGTAAATGTTTGATTATTTTGTTGATATTATTACATTGCATATACAAAATAGCCTATCAAAGTTGATGATTTTGGGGTATTTTCGTCAAAAGTAGATGATTTGAGGGTACTTTTGCCAATACTGGGGTTTTAGGGGTACTTTTACAAATAAACATGATTTAAGGGGCCTATATACAAAAAATCCAATTATTTAACCCTAATGAACATATCAGTATGCGAAATTTTAAAATGTCACGTACATAGCACTGAGTCTCTATTGCACGTGCACGGAGAAGAATCTCCCAATGTGCCTCCCCTGTGACCTTTGTAAAAGCTGATGGCACCAACAAAATCTGCATTTATTAAATATGTTTCCACTTGGTGAGGGCTAAATAAGAAAATGACAATAGTCAGAGTTTATAGGATGTCAAATACCTGTGCATTGTGTTGAAACCTCAGTTGCTGATAAAGCTCAGGAAATCTCAAGTCATAGCACACTGTAAGACCCAGGCGTCCAATAGGGCTGTCCTCTGCAACAATATCAGTCCCTGAAATGAACAGAACATTAAAGAATATACTTTATGAATTGTATTACATTTTGATGCAGCAACTTGAAATTGCCTGTCACCATCAACAAATGTGGGGAGAAAAAACAATCAATTTTGCTAAAAACACCACCGGTGCAAGAGTAGCTTGCAGATGAAAAGGTTTCTTGTAGATGAAACACACTATAGGTTAAACTGCTAAGAATTCCTCCATTGACTATGATAGTTTCTCTCTGTAAAACTTCATTGACTCGACAATCTACCAACTCAAATTCAGATGCATCTTTACTGATATAGTACTATGAAAAAATCATGGAGAATCTAACTGTAAACATGGCTTAAAAATATGGAGGGATGTATGAGTGTCCATCGTAGAAGTCGTGAATGTAGGAATCTCACATTTAATTCTATAAGAACATTTTAAAGGGTTCATTGCAGATAAACGCTGTGAACTATTGCCAAATTGAACTTACTAATCCTGTAGTTCTATTGTTGCAGATAGACTCCATGAAAGAGATCTGTTGTTGCAATTAGAACCCCTGAAAGAGTTTTGTTGTTATAGATAGATCTCCTTAAGGGTTAAAAAAAAGAAATCGCTTAGGGGATCTAGCAGCAACATTAGAACTGCAGGGATAGTAGGTTCAATTTAGCAACAATACAGAGGGTCTGTCCACAAACTAAAGCTATTTTTAAATGTACGTACTTACTTGAACATGCAATTAAATATTATATACCAAAATATTGAAAGTGAACACAGAATGTCTAAAGAAAAAACACCTAACTTTTGGAAAGTTGAAAACATAGCATTCAGTTTGAGTGATATAAGTTCAGAATAAACACGAGGCGTCCATACCTGCTGTTGTAAAATCACTTTCCTTGTAAGTCATATTGCCAGGAACATCCACGTCAAACCTTTAAATAGTAACCAAATATTTTAAGATGATGAAGATAGGCTTGGATGATGATGACGACGACGATGATGATGTGAGCTAAGGATGTCAACTTGGGAAGATAAAAAGGTAGAAAATGGACCACTTACAAGTGTATCTTGCGGTATATGTTTTTGATATTCCCATAGTTATCAACCAAAACATGTGTATTATAAAGGTGTGCATCATCGGGTCCTTTCTCTTGAAAGCCTCCAAGTGACAACCAAATATTTGAGTCCCTGTCATATTAAACTGATAAGAAAGAGCTGAATGTCATGAAGTAAGGCCTATTTTACAAGGAAATTAGGTTAAAAAAAGAATTTAGAAAGCCAAACTGCATGGACTATTGCCCATTGAAATCTAATATAGTAAAAGAAGCAAAAAATGCTAAAAAAGGGAAATAAGCTATGAAGAAAGTACTAAAATTAATATCTTAATATCCATGCGTAAAATAAAAGTTCACATTTAGTGTTTTCTTGATCCCTCTTTTGAGAGCTTTTTCTGGTCGTTTATAATGGTGGCTTGGTTTTAGAGCTCATGCTCTTGTCATTTTATCGAATCTCATGCTATAACCTGAAACTGAAGCTTACAGTGTGAGTTCATCTAGTGAAACAAGGTATAAGTTCCTTCTTACAAGGTGTCATTTAATGATAATCTTTTTAGGTGGTCCCTATGATCATGATTAAGCTCATCATAGCAGTCCTAACATATGTCAAAACTCATAGACAAGTTGGCTATAAAGCTCAGGTACCTAATGATAAACAAGCTCATCATAGTACATGCCTAAATTAACTGATTCTCTCATCCATAAACTATTTGAGTTTCAAATAAGTAATCCTCCAAGCTCATCATAGTAGCTTCCAGTTATCAGTTTCAATAACCTTGTTAAATCCTCCAAGCTCATCATAGTAGCTTCCAGTAATCAGTTTCAATAACCTTGTTAGCCAGAACATCAACTTCAACATATTCATCCGAGGAATTGCCTAATATCATTTTCTCAACACTCCTTAGACCCTAGAAATAACTCTATCTTTGCTTTTCCCCTCTTATTCTTTTGGATTCTAGTATACAATAAAATTCGTTTTGCTGACCCTATATGCAATATGTTTACATAACGTAGATAAAATGCCCTTTGGATCCAACAATCAACGGACAATGGTAAAGAATATAGAATATAGGATACATTGCAGATAACCCTCTCATCTATAGCCTTAATAGCGCTTGTCACCTCTCAATTCATTTATCTGCAATGTGTCGTTATAAAATATGAAACCGGGGGTGATGAGTTAACAAAAGAGTTGCGGGATGATAAGTGCTATTGAAAGTATACATGAGAGGATAATCTGCATTTTAATTTTTACCCAAGAATATAAAAATGGTTTAAAAAATTTTTGGTTGTTCCATTTTACCTTGCAAGTGAACAATATCTCCGCATTGTCGGTCCATCTAGAGGCTCTGCAATTTGGAGACTCTCCCCAGCTTTCATCCCCACAAAGGAGAAAGTCTCAGGAAAACATAGCAATTTCACTCCTTCGGCTGCTGCCTCCTATTAAAAAAAAAAAATCAAAGTAACCGGATATTACAAATATCATCATTACAAAAGCAGCAGCACTTCAACACCAATAATGGGTCATCAAGAAATTCGACCAAAAAAAAAATCCAGAATCAGAATCAACTACATGTCTCACTCAGTCATTGTACTGCCAATCTGTTGGGTAAAGTCAAGCATAATGTACGATGAATTGATCAGTAACTTCACTAAAATTACCAAAAATCTGAACTAACTAAATTAAAACTCTTCCTACAGACATCATACGAGTTCTAATCTACCTACTGAACTACTGGACTTCTTATCAATCTCCTGTGTGATAAAGAACCTCAATCGCAACTGTCAAAAATCTTATCTAAGCAATGTAATCCATCATTTATGACGAAAAAAAAATTTATACTTCAGCACATTCTGCAATTGGGTATCCTCAAATTCCATTTCTACATCCAAATACCACAATTTAATCAAGACCATTTTACCAAAAACAAAATTTTATCCAGCAATAAAATCGAAAAATAAGAAATGAGTAATTGAGAATTACTTGGACGAGGCGAGAGCAAGTGTTGAAATTGGCATCGAGGTCGTTGGTGGAGGTCATTTGGGCGGCGCCCACCTTGATGCCGTTGCTCGACGACATGATCGATAGCCGGCGGAACGAAACGGAGGCGGCGCGAGGCGGCGGAGGCGGCGGCGGCGAAAGAGAGGGGACGAAGCGGAGCTTTGTTAGTGGTATCTTTGTCAGGGAATTTGGAGTCAACAAGCTCAAAGCCATAAAAACCCCAAGAAAGTCCGAAACTTGGGGTTTTTATTGGGTAAAGGTAGTTATTTGCGATTACATACCCGGCTTAATTGCAGTTAAATACCCTATAGTTTCTCCTACTTGGCTTATATATACTTATATTTGGTTGCACCTACACCCTAAAGTTTCTAAGAGGTACACTTTAGTATTCTTAGTTATACAAACATGAGAATTTTCCCTCAAAAATCCTCATGCTTCACTTACACCTTGTTTGGATGGAGGTTAAAGTGAAATTCAATTTCACCTTGTTTGGAAGTTTTTGAGGGGTTAGAGGATGGAATGGAAGGTTAAATTTCCTTTCATTTTCCTCCCTTTCAATTTGGGGTGGAAGATGGAATAGAAACCAATGTAAAATTTTAGAATATGATTAGACAATTATACCTTTATGACATTAAAATCAATGGCTAAGGTATACTCTCTTTAATATGTAAAAGTATTTATGTAACTTTATATATATTCACGTCACTTCCCTCCTCTTTATTTGAACGCCCAAACAAGGTAAAACAAATTTACTTTCATTCCCCTTACTGGACGCCTAAATAATATTTTATCTTTTCACTTCTATTCCCTACATTTTGTTTCCATTATTTAACTTTCTATATCTTCCCTCAGTAAACTCCCAAACAAGGCATTAAGGGTAGGCATGGGCTAGGTTAGGCCAGGCCGGGTTGGGCCTGACTTATGAACCGATTCGTCGATTTGGGTTCATGCTAGTTCAAACCCGGGTCCAGGTGAGCCTAGGTGGGCCGGACGGAGGAATTTATTCTTGGATTTGGGTTGGACCCAGCCCGACCTACGGTCTGCATGGGTTAGCCAGTACTCTTTTTTTTTCAAATTTTTTTCTAGATTAGTATGTTTAGTTTAAAAAGGAAAAGTTGTACGGTGATAGAATTATCTCAAAGGATAAAAGATTCACAATAATTTGAGTGTTTTTGGTAAATTAAAATGACTACAAAGATTCATTAAAATACGAAATAAAGCTTAGAAAATGTCGACAACTATTAAAATTACAGCTTAAGCACCTGGAGGTTACAATTTTCAATTGAGTTGCTACTAAAATTATATCAAAATGTAACTATTACCTAAGGCGGCCCGTGCCAGGTTAGACATGGGTCGAGTCAGGTGTGGGTTGGGCCTACTTTTTTATCCCCGGGTTTAGAGCAAAACCCAGCACGACCTACGGCTCAGGTATATCGCAGGCCGAGTTGGGCCTAGCCCTCTGTGGGCCGAGTTGGTCTTGACCCAAGGTAGGTTAGGCCAGTCAGCCTACGGTTCAAACTGGCGTACACCCACCCCTAGCTATACTCACATGCTAATTGTAGAACATTTTAATTTTTGCTATTTTGTTAAAGCTACGGTTAAACTTATCAAAATTCTATTTAATATTGAATTATGGTAGTCTTAAACTAGGATTTTAATAGGTTTAACAGTCATTGTAATAAAAAAAATTGGGGTTTAAATGTTCTACAATAGCATATGATGTCACATGAGAATTTTTACGGGAAAAATTTTCATGTTTGCATAACTGAGAGTATTAAAGTGCAGCTTGTAATAACTTTAAGGGTATTTAAGTGCAACCAAATACAATTAGGGATATATATGTGCCAAATGAGTGAAACTATATGATATTTAATTGCAATTAATCCTAAATACACTAAAATTTACATGATTGCTAACTTTGATATCGTTACATTTTGTTTTTTCACCAAAAAGCACCCCATATTCCTAAAAATTTAACTTCGGTACCTTGCAAAGTCATTTTAGGATCTTAAAGCTAGTTTTCTTTACTTTTAGGGTTTATTTTTGGCAAACGCTTTGGGATATTAAAGTTAAAAGGATTAATTACAAACAGACCCCTATCGTATCGCCCAATTACAAAGAGACCCCCAGTAATTTTATATTTTGCAAATATATCACCTATAGTTATGCTTGTTGTGAACAGACCCCTTGAGTGAATTCCTTTTTATTCTTTAAATCATTAAAAATATTTGAGAAGGCGGATAGACCCCTCTATAATTCTATTGGTGAGGATAAACACTCGATGCTCTTTTTTTTTCTTTTAAGTGAGTTGAGAAAGTTCACTAAGGAGGTGTATCCACATTTGGGCCAACAGTACATAGGTCTATTTGTAACAAGTGAATCTACATGAATCTCTTTGCAATTAGGTGACACCACAGCAAGCTAGAGCAAATAACACTTAGGTATTTAGACTAATAGAAACTTATCATAAAATATGTTATGAGAACACAAGGTTCTGAACCATAAATATACAGTATGCTATGCGCCACATCGCGCAACAAAGGTACGAACAAGCAAAGCGTAGATGCCTCGAACTGAAAGGTATGAATGAATTTTTATAGTTTATCGGTTATTATTTTAAATTTTTTTCGCAAATATAGATTGATTCATTGTTTCATTCGATTCTTTGTTTCGCAGGTACCGAGCGACCTCCTAGACGCGGCCGCAATGCTACTAAGGAATCGAACCTCATCCCTGATATTAATCGGAGGGCTGTGATCCGATGGGAAAACGGAGTGTCTGTTGGGGCCTTTACCAATGCTTTTAACAATTTCCTTGCCGCTTTAGCCAGGAGACACGATTTCTTCAACATATTTTTGACGTGGAAATCGCAGCGGATTGATGTGCTGGTGGCTTGTTGGAGATATATATGTGTGAGTCATTTATTTTAATTTTCATCATTATTAGTTATTAGTTTATTATTATGTTTAATACACTGATTTGTATCTACTTTTTCTTTATATGTTGAAGCGATTTTTCTTTCTTGACGATAATATTTGTGCTTGGACGTACTGCTTCGGGCAAATCAATGTATCGTTCAAGAGATGACGGTTTGAGTTAAAGAAAAAATATTTTGTCCAAATAACAGAAGATTGGGAGCGATACTGGCATCTTGACACGCGTGTGGATGGAGTAGATTTTTTTGCACTTTGCAGTTACTGGGACACGGCTGAAATTCAGGTATTATTGAAGTATATATTTTTAATTTTTTGTTTGAATTTCTATATTGTTTCGAATTGACATTGTTTTGCAGGCTCAAGCTGAAATAGCAAGGAGGAATCGCAACGCGCCTCGCACTTACGAGCATCACGGGGGCTCCAGGACATTCAGCCAGCATTATCATCAATTAGAGCTTGAGGTATATAATATATTAGCTTTTACGTTGAGTATAATTTATGTGTTATAGGTTAATGATATATTTGAATAAAACAGGGAAGGGGAGATCTCAGACATTTTGCAGATCGTATTCTGACTTCCTGGAGCCCGAATTACGCCAATGAAGAGAAGAAAGCAAAGAATAAGGATCTGGCTGTAAGTAGCAGTTCATTTATATATTCAATTTCATATCAATGCATCATTATTAAGTCGACTTGCCCGGGTTGTTTTGATATATCGCAGGAGAAAGTACATGCCAAGGTACAGGAGCAATTGACTCAGTCTCAGGTCTGTTCTAACACTCCTGCCCGGCTAAGTAGAGAGGATGAGGACTCCATCATCGAGACGGTCATTGGACCTAGTAGGAAGAACAGATATCGGTGGAGAGGATCCGAGCAGAGGCCGCACGAGTCTAGTAGCACCTACGAGTCTGCAGCACCACAAGGAACACCAGGAAGCAGTTCATATCAAGACTCGATGGAGCAGCGATTAAAAGCGATTGAAGATTGGCAGTCGCAGCAAACAACATATCAGCGGGCTCTAGAGGAAGAACGGAGGCGCCGGGAGCAGACCGTATTGGAGTTCACACAATTCATGTCGACTCTGCCTCAGGAGGCTCAGGAGGCATATAGGAGACATTTTCTGTCGTCACAGGTAATATATATACTTTGCTTTTTTTAATTAGATGATATCGTACATACTGATACACACTAATACAAACTGTTACACACAAACCCTAACTCTAACCCTAACACAAACATCAAAATATATACTTATAATATTTTTATGTGATGGTGGTGTTGATGGTGTATGCGTGCGTAGTGTTGGTGGTATTGGTTGGTGGGTTGGTTGGTGGGTTGGTTGTGGTGTTGTGTAGTGGTGGTCGTTATGTGATTGGTTTGTGAGGGGTTTTGTCGTGGTGGGGGGAGGAATGGGGATTGGGTGTTGATGGTGGTGATGGTAGTGATGGAGGGGGAGGGGGTGTGTAGAGTATGATTGGTTGGTGGGTGGGGGCTTTGGTCGTGGTTGAGGATGAGGAGTGGGGATTTTGTTGTGGTGGTGGTTGAGGGGGAGGGGTAGGGCGAGGGGGAGTGTTGTTGGTTGGTGGGTGAGGTTGGAGGATTTGTGGTGGTGGTGTTGTGTTGTGGTGTGGTGATTTGTTGTGCAGTGTAGTATTGTGTTGTGTTGTGATGGTGTAGTGTTGTTGTATTGTGGTGTTGTGTTGTTGTGTTGTTGTGTTGTGATGTTGTGGTTTTGTGTTGTAGTATATTTATATTTGTACTCTTATTAACGTTTACACACACTTGTTAACATTTGATTTATATTTATAGGCCGAGACTTCTTCACAAGGTGCAGCCGGGGGTAGTCATAATGTGGCTGGTGTTGAGGATGAGGATGATGATGATCAGGAGGATTGATTGTCCTTAATATAACTTTGAAAACAATTTCTTGTGTTGTATAAACAATATTTATTATGTACCTGTCGAGAAACTTTTACTTGCTTTTATTGAATTAAATGTGTGATATATGCGTGAGATGTGATATTTGTGTGAGATTGAAGCTTTCTTCTGCTGATTGAACAGGTTTTTAAAAATTATTATCGATATTGTACAGGGTTTTTTCAATTTTCAAAACATTTTGCAAATTCCTTTTTTTAAATTTTTTAGCGACGGAAATTCCGTTGCTAAATACAATTTTAGCAACGGAATTTTCGTCACTAAATAACTATTTAGCGACGGAAAACATGCACGAAATCACATCTGGATATTTTTAAAAAATAATAGCGACGGTTTTACCGTCGCTAATAATGTTTTAGCGACGGA